TGGGTAAGGTGGAAGATCAGAGAAAAAGAGGAAGACCCCAGCGAGATGGATTGGCCAAGTGGCAGCATCGATGGACTCAAGCATGGCAACAATAGTGAAGATCATGCGGTGTTTCGTTCTGCTGTGCATAAGGTTGCTATGAGTCGGTACCAACTCGATGGCACCTGACAACAACAACAATTATCAGTTGTTGTTGAAGACAGTGGTAGAATTCAATTTTATCATCATTGGCTTTCCTAATTTCCTAATGTATAAATTTGAGTAATAGTGATATTGATTGTTCTTTCTTGTAGTTATGAAGTCCTGGTGTGGGGCTGTACGATAGCCATTGGTCCACAAGGTCGGCAGTTCAAACTAACCAGCCACTCCTCAGAAACCATATACAGGGTCGCTGTGAGTCAGAACTTACTCAATGGCACTTAATAGTAACATCAATTTGTAGTTATATAGATATTATCCTGTCACAGACAGTATTATACTTCAAGATAGATCTTGCAATACTTTCTCCTATGATGAATGTGACAGCATTCCTCCTCTATTTGTCCATTTCCATAATAATAAACCCTTTGATTGTCTGATTTAAATGGTGATTACCAGCCCATTTCAACTCACTGATGCCTAGTATTTTGATCTTCATGCGTTCCATTTCATTTTTGAAGACTTCCAATTTTCTTAGATTCATCTTTCATATATTTGACATTCTGATTATTAATGGATGCTTGCAGCTGTTGCTTTTCATTTTGAGTTGTGGCCCACCAGCAAATGAAGGTCTCAAAAGTTTTACTCGTTCTACATCTACTTTCATATGTAGAGAAAAGAAGAGTGATGGAAATTAAAGATGCCTGGAATCAGTCCAATGGACTAATGGGACATGTGAAATTTAGTCTTCGAGATGCTGAGACCAGATGGTGCCCAGCTACCATTACCCACTGTTCTGACAAGGATCACATTAGAAAGTCTGGATGTTGTTGTTTTTGTTAGGTGCCATTGAGTCCATTCCAACTCATAACAACCCTATGTATAACAGAATGAAGCAGAGGCCAGTGCTGCACAATCCTCACAATTGCTGTTACATGTTTGAGCCCATTGCTCCTACCACTGTGTTAATCTTACTGGGTGTCTTCCTCTTCTTTGCTGACCCTACACTTAACCAATCTTGGTGTCCTTCTTTGGAGTCTAGTCCCTCCTGATAACATGTCCGAAATATAAGCGATGATGTCTCACCATCCTGGCTTCTAGGAACCATGCTGACTATAGATCTTCTAACAGATTTGTTTGTTCTTTTGGCAGTCCATGGTACTTTCAGTATTCTTTGACAGCTTTCCTTATTCATTGTCCAACTTTCACGTGCATATGGAGCAGTTGAAAATACCATGATTTGGATCAGGTGTACCTTAGTCCTCAGAGTGATCTCTTGGCTCTTTAACACGCCAAAGAGATTTTTTTGCCACAGATTTGCGTAATGCAATATATCATTAGATTCTTGACTGTAGCTTCTATAAATGTTAATTCTGGATCCTAGCAAAATAAAGTCCTTGGCAACTTCAATCAGTATCATTAATATCACATGAAGTAAAATTTTGTTCAAGAAAATTCAAAAACAGTTACAAGAGTACATTACCAGGAACTGCCTGAAAAATCCAAGCCAGATTCATCAGAAGATGTTGAATGAGAAATATCACTTCTAATGCCATATAGATCTTGGTGCAAAGCAGAGAATACTTGAAAGATGTTTACTTGTACTTTATTGAGTATACAAAGGCATTCAACTGTGTGGATCATAATAAACTATGGATACCATTACAAAGAATGTGAATTCCCGAACACTTAATTATGTTCATATAGAACCTGTGTACATAGGCCATGAGGTAGTTGTTCACACAGAAAAGGAAAGATGTACACCAGGGTCCGAAAAACTGGATTTTATGAAGAATACTACATCATGATTTGAGGAAGCCTCCGTAACAACCTTTGGCATGCAGATGACACAACCTTGCTTGAAATACTTCCTGGTGAAGATCAAAGACTACAGCTGTCAGTGTGCATCTCAATGTAAAGAAAATAAATATCTTCACAAGTGGACCAATAAATAACATTTTGATAAGCAGAAAAGTTTGAAGTTATCAAAGACTGCATTTTTCTGGATTCATAATCAATAATCAGTAGTCATGGAAGCATAATCATAATAATCATGGAAGCAGCAGTTAGGACATCAAAAGTTATATTGCTTTAGGCAAATCTCTGCAAAAGATATTTTTAAACTGTTAAAGAAGAAGATGTCACTTGAGTACAAAAATGTCACTGACCCAAACCTTGGTATTTTCAATCATATCATGTGCATGTGAAAGTTGAACAATGAATAGGGAAGAATGTACAAGAATTGATGCATTTGAATTGTAGTGTTGTCAAAGAATATTTGAAAGTAGCATATTATTGCCAGAACAACAACAAATCTGTCTTGGGGGGAAGTACAGCCACAATGCTCCTTAGAAGCCAGGATGGTGACACTTTTTCTCCCATACTTTGGACATGTCAGGACGGACCAGTCCCTAGAGACAGATAATCATGCTTGGAGAAGTCAGTGAAACAGAGGATGACCCTCAATGAGATCATTTGACACTGTGGTCACAACAAGGGGCTCAAGCATGACAACAATTGTAAGGATAGTGCAAGACTGGGCAGTGCTTAGTTCTGTTGTGGATAGGGATGCTATGAGTCAGAACTGATTTGAAGGCATCTAACAACAACAGTAATTTTGGATATTAAATGAGTAACACATACCTACCTATGTTGTCTCCCTTTCTATTTCTATGTCTTAGGTTTTGCTTGGACAGTGAACTCTTTTGAAGCACGGAAGTTTGGTTTTTCATTTTAATGAAATTCGTTTCATCAGCTTGTTTTCTTTTATGATTCTTGGTTTTGATGCCATATCTGAGACCTCTTTGGTAACCTAGAAAGATTTTCTCCAATGTTCGCTTCTAGAAATTTTATCATTTTGTTGTTGTTCCAACTCATAGCGGCCCTGTAGAGGGTTTCCTAGGAGCAGCTAATGGAACTGAATTGCCAGCCGTGTGGTTAGCAGTCCAGTGCTTATTCTATAGTGCCACACCATGACTCATTCATAATTTTAGCTCTAACACTTGAGTCTGCAATCCTGGTATGGCCCTCTGGGATAAAGCACTGGACCATAAGGTTGTTTGAACCATTAGATTAGCGGTTCAAAATCACCAACCACTCTTTGGAAACCCATATACAATGTGTCACTATGAGTTGGAACCAACTCAGTGGCACTTAACAACAATTTCATTTTGAGTTGCCTTTATGTGTGTGGTGTGAAGTAAGTGTCCAAATTATTTTTTCTTAAATATATATTGAACTATCCAGCATCATCATTACCTGAAAAGAATTGTTGTTATTGTTAAATTGCCATCAAGTCAGTTCTGACCCATAGCAACCCTGAACAGGGATTCTGAGATTGTGTAAATCTTTACAGGAGCAGAAAGCCTCATCTTTCTCCCGCAGAGCCACTGGTAGTTTCAAACTGCTGACCTTGTGGTTCACAGCCCAATTCGCAACCACTATGCTACCAGAGCTCCTTACCTGAAAAGAATATTCTTCCTTTAATTATATATACCTTTGTTGAAAAGCAGTTGACCATAAGCATAAGAATTTATTTTCAAATTCCCAACCCTATGCCACCTATTGCTGTATCTGTTCTTACATTAGTACCTTACTGTCTTGATTGCTATAGCTTTTTCAGCAACTTTTAAAATCAGATAGCGTGAATTTTCAAACTTTATAATTAAAAAAAAATGTATTCGGCTATTTTAATTGTTTGTGTATATAAATTTTAGAATTCGTTTGTCAATATCTATCAAGAAAAAAAAATCCTTCTGGGATAATTGGGATTCTTCTGAATGTTGAATCATTTAGAAAGAACTGACATCTTAAGTCTTCTTGAACATGTTTACTTTTCCTTGGTTTATTTCATCAATATTTTATACATTTCGGCATATAGATCTTCCGCATATTGTGTGAGGTTTATATGGAAGTTTTAAATTTGAGGTTGTTCTGTTGTAAACAGCGCTATACAACATTTATTTCTCATCTTTCATTACGATGTAAGTTTGCTCAAACCCTATCAGTTGAAGAATTCTCCCACATTGTATTTCATTTATTGTACATGGTCAAATAAGAAATAATATCTTATAAAATAGAGTAGTGGTATTTTAAAATAGTTTTTAATTACAGTGTGTAAAAGACTTTAAAGTGTTAAAAAGCAAAGGTGTCACTTTGAGGATTCAGGTATATATGATTCAAGCCATGGTTGTTGTTGTTGTTGTTGTTAAGTGCCATCGAGTCGGGTCCGACCCATAGCGACCCTGTACAGGGTTTCCGAGGGTGTAAATCTTTACGGGAGTAGAAAGCCTCATCGTTCTCCCGCGGAGCAGCTGGTAGCTTCGAACCGCTGACCTTAAGGTTCGCAGCCCGATTCATAACCACTACGCTACCAGAGTATGAGGGGTAAATCAAAGAGTATTGCTGTAAAATCATAGAAATCTAATTAAACAGACATATTAAACAGACATATTAAACAGACATATCAAGACATGGATCTATTGTTTCTTGACATATATTCAATCTCAGAGTATACACTTCTGGAGGTGCTGTTTTCTGGTGGGGCACTATAGGATAAGCTCTGATCTGTTAACCACAGGTCAGTAGTTCAAGCCCACCATCCACTGAACGGAAACCCAATACAGGGTCACTATGAATTGGAACTGACTCCATGGAACTTAACAACAATGACAACTACAAATACTTCCCTGAAGAATTATGTGTTCTCTGATTTACACCACATCCAAACAACAGTTTTCGCATCCTCAGATAGTATTTCCTTTAAACATTCTCTGAATTTGGGGAACTAAAAGAAGTTTGAAGTGGTGTGATCAAAGCTGCAGAGTGGGTCTGTTAAGGCTTTCCAGTGAAATTCTCATAGAACAGCCCTTGCTCAACTTCTTCCTTGTAAGCCCCTATGTTGGACTCCTGGCCAGCAGTTCAAACCCACCAGCTACTCCTGGGAAACCCTATACAGGGATGCTGTGAGTTGGAACTGACTCAGTAGCACTTAACAACAGAAACAATAATGTTCATTCTGTCCTTCAAGAAAATCTATCAGTATTACTGCTTGTTGTTGTTGCTAAGTGCCATCGAGTTGGTTCTGACCCATAGCAACCCTATATAGGGTTTCCAAGGAGCGGCTGGTGAGCTTGAACTGCTGACCTTGCATATTGGCAGTCCAGCACTTTAACCCACAAGCCCACACCAGGAATCCAAAAGCCAACAGTACCTGTTATTCCCAGGTGGTCTCCCATCCAAGTACTAACCAGGCGTGACCTTGCTTAGATTCCCAAATAAGAAGACATCAGGTGCATTCAGGGTGGTATGGTTGTAGACAGAGAAGGAGGTCAGCAGCAGTGTGCATGCGCACAAAGCCTACTGCACCTGGTATTCCCAGGCAGTCTCCCATTCAGGTACTAACCAGAGATCAGATGAGATCAGGTGTATTCAGTGTGGTATGGCCATAGATATTACTCCTTGTGAATCTTAATAAACAGTCGCCAGAAACTAATGAGTTGACCTCTTTACTTTGGATTTAACTGACCCAGCACATCCCCTAGGAAGCCACTGTTTATATTAGACCTCTTTTCTGAAGGCACCCTAATGAGACTAAGACAAATGTTTTACTAAGAGAACCTGTCTCCAGCCATCCACTGATTACAGAAACATAATTAATCATGTTTTGATTGGAGTTAACCCATGCATGATGTATGAACTGGAATACGGTTTGGTTTTCCCTTTTATTTTCAATTGCCTTATATGCATTGGTAAAGTAGACAATAAAACTAAAGAATAATGGATGTATTTGATGTTATCAAACAATATCGAATAGACCATGGATTTTCAGAAGAATGAACAATCTGTTTTGGAACAAGTACAGGCAGAATGCTCCTTAGAAGCCAGGATAGTGTGACTTTGTCTCATGTAGTTTGCACATGTAATCCAGAGGGACCTGGAGAAGTAGAGGGTCACCTAAAAAGTGGAAGTCCCTCAACCTCCGTGACTATTGACACAGTGGCTGCAGCACTTGGCTCAAGTACAGCAAAGACTGTAAAGATATGGAACTGGGTAGTGTTTTGTTCTATTGGACAGAGAGATGCATTGCATCAGAGCTGACTCGACAGCACCTACCAACAAGTTCCTAGGAGAAAATGGATGAGCCATTTTTAGAGGCTGATCAGTAGTTTAGTAAGATTGCTGTGTCAGTCTTTTCACATTACCAGTGACACAAAACTTTTCTGAAGAGATTTGTGCTCTAAGAAAAGGATGAGCACATAACTAACTCCCTGTTCCTTCGTATGTTTGCAGGTGTTGCAGCTTCCCTGGAAGTCTCAGAAAGCCCTGGGAGTATCCAAGTGGCCAGGGGCCAGACAGCAGTACTGCCCTGTACCTTCACTACCAGCGCTGCCCTCATTAACCTCAATGTCATTTGGATGGTCATCCCACTCTCCAATGCTAACCAACCTGAACAGGTAACTTGTTTCTATTCAGGTCTGTCACTTTCCGCCCAGAGGCCGTTTGCCACACAATTCTGAGCCCTCTCCCTTCTTCTGTGAATACTTAGCTTTGATCACATATGTTAACATTAAGAACTGTAGCTGAAGACTTAGAACTGCTTTTTCTTTTTATGGCATTTGTTTTTCACTCAATCTATACTTAGCGATGTATCATTTTGTGATCTAGTATGCATGGGAATGGAGTCCTGGTGTGGCGCTGTGAGTTAATGCTCCAGACTGTAAAGCCATTTGAAATGCAAGGGTGGTGCTTCAAGCTCACAAGCTGCTCTTTGGAATCCCTGTACAGGGTCGCTATGGGTCAGAATTGACTCTACAGCACTTAACAACAACAACAACAACATATATATACATATATAAAGTTATATATGTATATATATATTTAACTTTCTGTTTGGGAATGTTTTTAACTAGTAAAAATATTTATAGGCTGGTGGTCAGGTATAATTAAAGAGAGTTCACTAAATTCTGACGAGTTAATATAGATAGACAATGCTATTCCACTTTTGTATGTGAGAATTCAGAACCCCAGGATACCTATAGTCAGAGGTGCTATAATAAAAGGTTGGTGATAGGTCTAAGTTTAGTAACTACAATTTCAACATTTGGAGCAGTCTATTAGATGTTACTGCTGAGTGTTCAGAGGGGCTGCAGTGGCCAATTGTTTTGCTTTCTCTTGCAGGTCATTCTTTATCAGGGTGGACAGATGTTTGACGGTGCCCCTCGGTTCCATGGTAGGGTAGGATTTACAGGCACCATGCCAGCCACCAATGTCTCCATCTTCATTAATAACACTCAGCTGTCAGACACAGGCACTTACCAGTGTTTGGTCAACAACCTGCCAGACAGAGGGGGCAGGAACATCGGGGTCACTGGTCTTACAGTGTTAGGTGAGTTACAGGATAACGTGGCTTTCCTATGACTGTCCCCTCAAGCACATTGACTTCTGCACTTCCTTTTACAATCTGTATCTCCTGGTGCCCTCTTCCTGTACTCTCTTCTCTCAGTAGCATCCCGTTCTTTTCTCATGTTTCTTCATGTGTAAGAAACATAATGCTCCCTTCTCTCTATTTTGCATAGCTCTGTAGAGCCTACTTCTTAATTTTAATTTTCTGAAGATGGGAAAGGTGGTGTAAAATATCCTTTAAAAGTATCCTCTAATTTGTCTTAAGCTTCTGATTGACTTCATCATTATTGTAAGAACCAAGCATAAGATTGAGCACGTGAGAATAATACCACCTCATGTCTGCGTTAGACTGAGAAGATGGTTCCTCTGTTCACTTGCATTCATTTCTATTCTGTCAGTCATTCATTTTTTGAAATGGTGAACACATTTATTTAAAAGTTAATAGCATTACAAATATATTATCACTTTGACTTAAATGCTACTGTCTAGATTCAATGTGAGACATTAGGCCATGAGCTTCATTTATCTTGTTACATAATTGCTTTTTATATAAATTACCACCTTCTACCTTTAGTATCCATATTTTGTATTTATTTCATGTCATTGAGACCTTACTTTTTATAATGATTGTAAAAAGTCCATTATGTTACTATGAAAGTATAGATATATTTGAACCTACTTTAACTTCAACTACCATAAAACAGAAGTTTTTATAAAGCAACCCTGTCTGGTATGTGTTTGTAAAGTTGCAAAGTACCATATTGAGGAAGTCTTAGCCAGAGAGGAGCTAACAGAATGAGTGATTGTTATTCCCTTAGATATCTTTTCTAAAAATGGCCCGCCTCCAATAAGGTTTTTAAAGATAACGTGTTAACATTAAGGATCTTAGCAACTCTTTTTTCAGAGGAGGCAGAATGAAACCAAAGCCATAAGATACCATGAAAAGATAGTCAAAGGATTACCCCTTTTTGAATATTTGCTCCTTGCCAGCTGAAGTTGTAGGCCCTATGCTTGTGCTTGTACTGTCTAAATTAGTACATGGTTATCTTCTGGTTTCATCCATGGGATGTTCCAAAAAAACTGTTATCTGAAATACAGTGTACTGACTGTTGATTTCTCCTCCATCCTCACTTGACTCATAATGCATATGTATTCTTTATTGTTTGTTCTTATTATAGTTCCCCCTTCAGCCCCACACTGCCAAATCCAAGGATCACAGGATATCGGCAGTGATGTCATTCTGCTCTGTAGCTCAGAAGAAGGCATTCCTCGACCAACTTATCTTTGGGAGAAGTTAGATAATACCCTCAAACTACCTCCAACAGCCACTCAGGGTATGTATGGTATTGCTTTACTCATTTAATTAGTGATCACAGACAATTTGGGCTCATCTGTGATCCCCAAAAGTAATGAGTAGATTTTGAAAAATAATACAGCATTAGTAATTTCTGAAAATTGTATCTGGGTCATTTTGTGTGTTCAACTTTGAAAGAAATAAAACTCTTTCTCATCACTTCTGCCTTTATGAGACATACTTCATACAGTGGAAACTCTATGCCATCCTAGTACAGCTTTATATTTTTAAAATATATTTTTATATTGTTAACTGTAAGAGAGTCCTCGAGACACAAATGCCTATTTCGGTATGAGAAGTATCAGCATGGTTATGAGAGGGTTAATCCTCCTGTTTTCAGCCTCAAGTCTAATTAGAGGAGGAAGATGAGAAAGAGAACAGGAAAAGGCCTCAAAACACTGGCGATCCAGGAATTGATCACACCAGACAGGTAATGGTGGAGGAGACATATAAATATCATTGATAGTTTTCTACATGCAAATCTGATAATTGATATTAAAGGAAATGTTTTTGAGAAGTTGAGGAACTTGATGAAATAAAATAAGGAAACTTAACAGAACTATATAAGGAAGACCATAGAAGAATTGATGATTTTGAATTATGGTGTGTTGGAGGAGAATTTTGAAAGTGCCATGGGCTTCCAAAAGAACCAACAGATCTGTGTTGGTAGAAGTGCAGCCAGAGTGCTTCTTGGAGGCCAGGATGGCCAAACTTCGTCTCTTATACGTCAGACATATTGTCAGGAAGGACCAGTCGCTGGAGAAAGATATCATGCTTGGTAAGGTGGAGGGTGAGAGAAAAAGAGGAAGACGCCCAATGAGATTGATTGGCCAAGTGGCAGTATCAGTGGGCTCAAGCGTGGCAACAATAGTGAGGTTGATCCAGGATCGGACAGTGTTTCGTTCTGCAGTGCATAAGGACACTATGAGTCGATACCGACTTGATAGCACCTAACAACAGAATTATATATAAACCCTTCTGATTTGAGAAAATAAAATGTAGGAGCCTTGAGTGTTGTATTATAACTAATATGGAAAATGTATCTTACGACTTTCTCAGGAAAGAGTTACAAATTTTAAATCTAGAACAGGAAGTCATATAGAAGCCTCAGGCAACTTCAACTATACCTGATAAGTTGGAATCATTTTGATTGTACATGTCTCTTCCTGAAACAGTAACATCCTAAGTTGAATGGTGAAGTTAGACATATTAAAGGAACTGGGCCACCAACCTTTAAAGTGCCTATATGTTGTTTTTAAAGAATCCCAACTAAAATATTAATGTATTTCTCTATTATCTTTTATTAATTCAAACCACAACTCGTTTTTTAAAATGCACTTTTCAACCTAGTAACTTTTAGTTTATGCTTAGTAACAATCATTGTAATACTATTGCTCCCTACTGATTGCTCATTGGATGGCACTGTGCAATAAACCACTAGATTGCAAGGTTGGTTTGAATCACTATTAGTCAGAAGTTTGGCGGCACAACAACAACAACAGTGGACTAAATAGCTTTTTTTTTTTTTTATTGGCCTCATTTGCCAATTTGCTAAATCCACCATGGTAAATTTTTTGTTATTGTTAGATGCTGTCACGTCCGCTTTGACTCATAAAGATCCTATGCACAGCAGAATGAAACACTGTCTAGTCCTCTGCCATTATATCAGTCCATCTCATTGGGGGGAGTGTCTTCCTCTTTATTGATGGCCTTCCACTGTACCAAGTGTGATGTCCTTCTCCAGGTACTGATCCCTCCTGATAACATGTTCTAAGTATGAGAGATGAAGTTTTGCCATACTGACTTCTAAGAACATTCTGTTTGTACTTCTTTCAATGCAGATTTGTTTGTTCTTCTGGCAGTCCTTGGTACTTTAAATATTCTTCTTCAACACCGAAACTCAAATGCATCAGTTCTTCACTGGACTTCCTTATTCATTGTCTAACTTTCACATGAATAAGAACCTATTGAAAATAACTATGGCTGGGGTCAGGCATATCTTTGTCCTCAAACTGACGTATTTACTCTTGAATACTTTAAAGAGGTCTTGTGCAGCAGATTTCACTATTGGATCCAAAATGTCAAAATGAAACCTTTGACAACATCCATCTTTTCTCTGTTTATCATGATATTATTTGATTATCTTATTGTACCTTCAGTGCAGTTTGAACTTCTTACTTCGGTACTATCAGTTTTTGACCATATGGTACTTATAATTGTTGAGCATTGACCATTTCTTTTTCGTCCAATGACTTTGTGTATACCTTCCATCTTCATTTGATGCTTTCTGCATCATTCAGTATTTTGCACATGGTATCCTTCATTAATGCAAGTCGAGGCTTTTGGATTTTTCTTCAGTTCTTTCAGCTTGAGAAATGCTGAGCATGTTTTTCCCTTGTACTAATCTTCAGGCACTATATCTGACAGCACTCCTCTTCTATTCATAAGGTTTTCACTGGCCAAACCTTCAGAAATAGTCAACCTTTCCTTCTTCCTAGTCTGTAAGCTCTGCTGAAACCTGTCCACCATGGGTGACTCTGCTTTTATTTAAATTGCTGGTAGCATAGCATCCAGCATCATAGCAACACACAAGCTACCACAGAATTACACACTGACAGACAAGTAGTGGGCCATTTTAAGTAGCATGCATAAAATAAGGCTACTCTTCAAATCCAGAAAACTTTATTCAAATTCCAACTTTCAGTTTACCACTCTGGACCTATACTGCCTCTCTATAAAATAAGGATTAAGAAATATTATCTCTAAGCCGAACTGTAGTAACATTAATATTCCATTATAATTCCTAACATTACTTTGGGATATTAGACTGAGCTTGTAATTCAAGTAAACTTTTGAAAGTGGTTGTTTATATATATGTTGGAAATTTCTAAATCTGTTTGTTCCTTTTGTGTGACTCATGTGTAGGGTTTCTGAGAGTGAATGGTAGATTTGAACTGCCATCCTGGGCGATGACCAGTTCAGTGCTTAGCCTACAGTGCCACAGCAAAGCTCTGTTTGTCCCTAGATAAGTGTTTTTCAGTCTGACTTTTTGATACCTCTTTCTAACTTTGATATTCTTTGGGGCTTTACGTGTAAAAGGAAACTTGAATTCCATGAATGAAAATTTTATCTTTTATAATTCAAATTTTTAATTAATCTCCAGAATTACTTTGGATCTTCTTTTACCATAGTGTTGTTGTTGTTAAGTGTTGTTGTTGTTTAGTCGGTTCTGACTCATAGCCACCCTGTATAGTGTTTCTGAGGAATAGCTGGTGAGTTTGAGCTGCCAACATTGTGGTTAAAACTGACCTTGTTGTCCACACCAGGGCTACACATTAAATGAGTCATAGTTTGAAATTTAAATTTGCCTCATATTTGCATTAATAAAATGGATCTCAAAATAGCATATAATCCCAAAATAACTTATGTTGTTTTTTCCCCACATCTCTTTTGCTAATTACATTTGCCATTGTTTAATATAAAACAAGTTACATTCTCTGTGAAAAGTATGTTTTACAACAGGGGAAGTACATCCAAGAAGTCTGGTAACAGAAGCATAATATTCTTTGAGGATTAAGATTGCTTTTGTGTATTGGAAGGAGTTTGAAGTACTTCTTTCTGGCAAAATCCAAGACATTTGAACATTAAAATAAATATATATGGTTCATTAATAAAATGACAATCTATGAATCCACGTTGATATTCATAAAAAGTCATCCTTTGATGCCAAAGTAGTTGGTGAAAATTTGTGGAATAATAGGATATTCATAGTTTCAAAAGTATATCTCTATAAAGTACTTACTAATTATGAAGAAAATATAGTTATTTTGTCATTGGTAAACCTAGTAGATATATCACCAATATTGTGACAAATTGATAACATTTGCCTCCCTATATGAGGGTAAGTTTAAAAGTATTTGTACCAGGGTTCCAGGCTAATTCCAAACATGTCTCCAATTTATGGATGACTGCAGACACATTGTCTTAGGAGACCACTTACCTTAGTTACATCAGGGTACCTTCTAAAAACAAGTCCATTCAAGTATCCCCTGGGCCAGTAAAATTCAAGGCAGACGTCAGTTCAAAATGTATGGTGACTTTTTAAGAACTCTAAACTGGTCATCTTTGATAGATTTTCTCAAATGACATGGGACGATCACAGTAGCTTATTAGGAAGAGGTTTTAAGAAAGTTAAAAACTGCATTGGTGAGGAAAAGAATTGGGTAAGTTGTGTCAAGGGCTTTTTTTTTTCATCACAAAAATGCACCTGCTCAATCTTTGAGAATAGCAAGGGCTGTCCTATGAGAATTTCATTGAGAAACCTTACCCCATCCACTCACAGCCTGATCTTGCCCTTTAAGACTTCTTTTTGCTCCCTAACTCAGAGAACATTAAAAAAGGATACGATTTGCACACCTTGAGGATGTCACAATTGCTATTACTACAAGATATAAATCAAAGAACACAAATTTCAAAGAGGCAGAGCTTGGTGATGGATAGGGTAGTGAAGTTTGCCATCAGCAATACCACAGAATATAAGGTGAAGCAAGTTCAGAGCAGAGCTCCAAAACTCTGCACCACATATTTTAAAAGTTTGAAGGTTTATAGCAAGTGGAACTCATAGCGGAAGTAAGAAATCACATACTTTTGAATCTGCTGGGCTTGACCACCCAGAGCTGACAATTTGGGAAAGACCAAATGGCAAGACCAAGCGAGGGAGCAGATACACCATGGGATAACGCTGCAGGAACCTCAGAGCAAAGGTAGACAATATACTTTGTTGGTTTTGCTTTGTTCTGATTTTCTTTTTTTTTTT